CAGTATACCTGGTATATATATATAGGGCCGCCGCCTGTAGGTGTCAAGTGTGTGTGTGGGGTAGGGGTGTCCAAAAAACAACTTTTTTGAGAAAAACCTGCTGACACCCCCTAAATGTGTTTTATCTAATGCAAAAACACTAGGTTTAAAATTTTTTTGAACAAAAATTATTTTTAGGGGTAGCTCAAGGCCCTCAAAAATTTGACGGGTCCCTAATATTTTGAAAAAAAAACTTTTTCTAAAGTATGTCAACCTGGTACTCAAAATAAGCAAAATTATATAAAAAATTTAAAAATGATAATAATTTTTTATAAAAATAATTTTTTTAGATATAAATGCATAAAAACTATTGTTTTTAAGCTGAAAATAAAAAAAGTCAATATTTTCAGGTTTTTTGAGAATAATTTTTTTTAGGCATGTTTTTTATGTAAAATGATTATTATTTTTGAAGTTTTTATACAATATCGCTTCTTTTGAGTACCAGGTTGACATACTTTAGAAAAAGTTTTTTTTTCAAAATATTAGGGACCCGTCAAATTTTTGAGGGCCTTGAGCTACCCCTAAAAATAATTTTTGTTCAAAAAAATTTTAAACCTAGTGTTTTTGCATTAGATAAAACACATTTAGGGGGTGTCAGCAGGTTTTTCTCAAAAAAGTTGTTTTTTGGACACCCCTAGTGTGGGGGGGGGGGGAGGGTGCCCTAAGGTTGTTGGCCAACTTAAAAAAAAAAAGAGAGATCTGAGAATTATCTGACTGAGAATAGATAAAGGCCCCATTTTGCCAACTGAATCTACAAAAAGGCTACAACTTGCCGACTGAAAGTACAAAAATGTCCCAATTTGCCGACTGAAGATTCAAAAATGTCCCAACTTGCCGACTGGAGGTACAAAAAACCCTTGTCGCGACGGCCTTATATATATATATATATATATATATATATATATATATATATATATATATATATATATATATATATATATATATATATATATATATATATTGAATGTCTGATATTAAAACTTCTAGATTCTAATGGATTAAAATACTTGCTACAAAAAGCTTTTCAATGCATGGACTGCAGTACATCTGTCAAACAAACCAAAATCACAATCGCAAGATGAATGCAACATCCTTTGGAATTCGATAAAAAATGATCCTGATTTTCAAAGTAAATGGCAAGTTAAGATAAAAAAGAATTAAAATCACTTGAGGATAGCCGTAAACGACAGAAAAAATCCCGAGAAAGGAAGAAAAAAGTGTTGGCTGAGACCTTAGAAGATTATCCCGAGATTACCTTTAAATTAAGAATTCATGAAAAGGCTGGACGCCCTTCTGTTATTGAAAGTCAACCGGAATTACTACCAACAATTATTCAGATTGCCACTCACGGCGCTGCTGCAGCTGACAAACGAAGATGCGAGACTTTAAAAATAGTTAAATCTCTTGATGAATTAACAGAAGTTTTGCAAAATGAAGGGTTTACAATTGGCAGATCAAAAATCTATTATCATCTTGCACCATAAAATTCTCACACAATAGATGGGAAGAGGCATGTCACTACTGTTCCTGTAAGACTCATTAAACCAGGAAGAGATCTTCACAAAGAACATCCGGATACATAATTTTGTTTTGCTTCCATTGAGAATTTAAATGAATTTGCTTTATTCTTGGGACTAGCAGAAGTTGCTTTAGTGAGCCAGGATGATAAAATAAAAGTGACAATTGGTCTCCCAGCAGCTACTTTACAAGCTCCCTTGATCATGCATATGGAATATAAAGTAAAATTACCTGATCACGATTTTGTCATTGCTCCATGCCATAAATTTATTCCATCAGCCTATGCTGGGCTAAAAATTGAAAAAGATGGATTCGGCAAAAAAGAGTTTGTGCGCTACTCGGGTCCTACTTATATTTTAATAAGATCAGCAAAACATTCGAAATCCACTGCTTATTCTCATGCAAGAGATTTTGCATAATTATATAAACTACTGCTATTTTGAGACATTATGTTGGATTTAAATGGTAATACAAAGGCAATTGTTATAATGTTTACTGACGGAGGACCAGATGAAAACCCCAGATATCAAAAAACGATTAAAATAGCCATTCACAACTTCATCACTTTTTCTTTGGATTCTTTAATAATTGCCACAAATACACCACAGAGAAGTGCATTTAATTCAGTTGAACAAAGAATGGCTTCACTTTCATGCAAGCTTTCAGGACTTATTTTGCCTCACGAAACTTATGGATCACATTTGGACTCTTCTGGAAAGACTTAAATTTAAAGTTAAAAAAAAACCTTAAGTTGGAAAGAGAAAATTTTAAGTATGCTGGCGAAGCGTTAGCTGAAGTCTTTTCCAACGTAGTGATCGATAACTTTGAAACCTACTCAGAATTTATTGACACGCTCAACTCAGAAATCGATACCGAAGTAGTAATTAAAAAAAGTCAAGAATGGATCGATTTCAAAACGTTCTGACATCAAATGCTGTACTGAGCCACGCGGAAAATATTTCAAATTTTTAAAGAAAGATTTTTTCGACCTCTCATTCCTTTATGTTATTGACCTCTTATTGAGTCACAGTTTTCAGTTGACAAGACTTATCGCTAAACATCTCTTTTCCAATCTCTACATCTTGCTCCAAAAAATATTCCGTTTGACCAACACTGTCCAAGTATCAAAACAATCCTTCAAAGTAGAGTGTGCCAAAAGTGCAACATTTATTTTGCATCATTAAATTTGCTTAATAATTATAAAATAGTTCATCTGAAAGAGAATAAAGTTCAAAAATCAAAAGCCAAGATAAAGAAGATTATTCAAAAGGAAGAAAATGCACAACTTACTTTCTTAGAAGGTGATAGAGGCTTTAAAGCAGAAGAAAGGGTAAAGAAAAATATTTTACCAGGAGAAGAATCAAACTTTATTGATTTTTTTATAGAAGCGCTAGAACGTCAGTTCCAATTTTTTCTATTGCAGAACATCTTGATTCTGTTTGGGAAAATATTAAGTAGTAATAAAAATTTTAATTGAAGAATACTTGTTGTTTTTTTGTAAATAAAAAAAAAAAATTAAAATTTTAGTGACGTGACAAAAGGGGGGAGGGGTTGATATTTTGTGATACTTTGTGACAAGTAGGGGGGGGTCTAAAAAGTTGTATTTTTGTGTGACAATTTGCGAATAACCCCAAACTCCATAGTTTACTCTTACTGGGGAAGAGGGAGGGGGGTGGGGAATGGTTTTATAGTGGCGATGTAAACTTCCCGGAATTTTTCCATTCGGGAAATTTTGAATATTTTCAAAAAAAGATTTTTTATTAGGTTATTTTATAATATTTTATTATAATAGGATAAATTTTACGTCTTATTTAGGCTTTATTTGGTATTTTGTTTAGTTTTTTATTGTAACTTTAAGTAGCAACTATGATAATTTGTTTTCAAAATATTCTAAAATTGTTTTATCTTTTTATTTACTAAGCATATTGATGTTCAGTGTTTATTTCCATCCCCATCCCTAAATAGGAAGGAATATTTTATGTTTATTAAATTGGTCTACAAGTTACTGAAAACTGTAAAATTATATATAAAAAGACTTTATTAAATTTACAGTATTTTACAATTTTTTCTTGATTGAACAACGTTATTGATTAATGGAAGGCAAAAAGTAAAGAAATATTTTTGCTAAATTTAAACTATTTAAAAATATAGTTAGCAATAAAATAAAAGAATTGATGCATTCAAGGTCATATATTCCGCCGTTAAGTTTAATTAAGTGCATTGATTGATTAACTTGACTAAGTGTTTTAAAGATTTAAAGTCTCACTCACCATAACCTTGCTTGGACACTTTTGACTTTATAAATCAATAAATTAAAAAATTATGCTATACTTAAAAACAGTTCAAATTTATATCATATTTTTCAACCAATACTTCCAAGTAGGCGATTTGTGTGTGTGACTTTATAAATCAATAAATTAAAACAAATTATGCTATACTTAAAAATGGTTTAAATTTATACTATATTTTTCAACCAATACTACCAGGTGGGCGATTTGTGTGTTTATTTTTTATAAGTATCATACCTTAAGTATCTCTAAACATTCCCACTATTCAACTATTTTATGTGACACCTTGCACTTGCTATCTCTTGCTTGAGAGTCTCAATAATCGAAAGCGAAAAATATCTTTTGTTTTGACAATTAAAGACATCTTCCACTTCAATAAGATATGCATGAATCATGTTAATAACTTGACTATCAATAGAACATAAATTTTTTATAAATTTTAAAATTATTGAAGACTTTCGAAAATATTCTGATATTCTGCAAAACTAGAATTATATTTATAAGCTTAAATTGTTTGCTAAATATTTTATGCTATCTGTATATCTTCAACATGATCAGTTATACTCAGCTAATATATAAAACATTTGTATCTATAGTCAAAAAAATATATATATTTAACATATCAACAACATATCAACAAATTCATAAATAATTCATACATAAGGTCACAAAGTGTCTCAAAGATAGCAAATGGAAAACCTATTAAAAGTATGTCATGGAATAACCCTACGATCAAATTAATGCAATTTTTAAAAATTTATCATAATCTGAATCTACTAATAAATAATATATTTCATTCTTGCAATACTCTGATCATGCTGAAAAAATACACGTTTTATTTTAAACGTGTATTAAAAGCAATATAGCTAGGTTGTTAAGTTGATGAAAAAACTAATTGTTTATAAAAAACAACTTTACCATATAGTTTTATTGCTGTTTTATCGTCTTTCTAAACGGGGTAGTTAATCTTTGTTTTGTTAATCTTAGGACAGAAAATTATGTCTAGGACAGCAAATGGCGCAAGCACAAATTGTAATTTTAGCTTTTATTTCTTAATTTAAAACATAATCCCTAATCATAATCTGCATTTAAGTAAATTTTATAAATATATGAAACATTTGTAGATACATAATTGCATTACCACTTTATTTTTAGTTTTTTCCGTGCTGCCAGAAGTGGTACGAATGATTTTTGCCCTGGTTTAACTCAAGCATGTCCAAGTTAGTACATTAAGAACTTATTTTGATGATTTTTGTTATTTTTAGTTTTAGTTTATAATAGTTGGTATTCTAAATAAATATATTTTTGCATAATTTATATAATATACATTTTGCTTTAGTTATAAAAATTATAAAAAAATTTTATATAAAAAAAAAGGATTTATATAACAGACAGGAAGATAAGGATGACTAAAGTCACCACAATTTTTTCATAGAGCCCTTATGTGGGCTTTAACAAGTGTAAAGTAAGATAAAATAGGTATAAAAAATATATAAAACACTGTTCAAATATGAAGAAATAAAAGCCATGTTAAACATGTACATTAAATTAAGATTATATATATATATATATATATATATATATATATATATATATATATATATATATATATATATATATATATATATATATATATATGTAAATATACATATATATATATATATATATATATATATATATATATATATATATATATATATATATAATATATATATATATATATATATATATATATATATATATATATATATATATATCGATGGTTAAGAGCACAAAGGGATATATATATGGTAGAAAATAAAACAACGTGAGTTTCACAACTTTAAGTTTCATGCTATTGCAACCATCAGGTTAAATGTAAATATAGTTTTTTTATTAAAAAAATTCAGTGGGAAGTTTTTTTTTTTGTTAGCAATTGCTAGGGAAATTTTCAGTCGTGTTTTTTGAATTAATTTTTTTTGGTGACTTTTTTTGATTTTTGAAATCCTGTTTGAGCAGCTGGTAGTTAGTTACTAACTTTTGTGGTGTTTTGATTGAATAGTTTATGCAATTGGTTTAAAGGTGGGAAATGCTTATCTATTAATTAAAAAAAGATTTGGACAACATAGGTAGAAACAGTTTTTTTTTATTGTATTGAAAATTTCCCTTGTATTTTATTTATTTATTTCATCCTTTGAAATAGACTTAACAATGTTTTACAACATAACAATATAAAGTTTTTAAAAATTCAGACTGGAGCTGACAGAAGATATGCTCTTATCATCCAGCCCCGTTGTTACAAATTTAAATATAATCTTGTGTATGCATAAACTTTTCTTTTTTTTTAATTTTTTTTTTTTCAATTTTTTGTTTATATTTATTTTTTATTATTATAATATATATTTTTTACGTCAATATTATAATAAAACTTTCCATACATATTGAAGGAAAATTCATATTGAAAACAAAACAAAACAACCTATTGTGTCAATATACAAAACTTTAAATAGCTAAGGTTCAATAAAGGCTTTAAAAGTAAATTAGTAATTGTTTATAATCAAAATTGAATATGTGCACATTTAAAATGTATATATATATATATATATATATATATATATATATATATATATATATATATATATATATATATATATATATATATATATATATATATATATATATATATATATATATATATATATATATGTATATATATATATATTATTATTATTATTATTATTATTATTATTATTATTATTATTATTATTAATCTATCAATGTATATTATATTAATAATCTATAATTTTGTATATATAAATATATATATATATACATAGATATACAGGGCCTATTCTAGGAAAAAAATTTGGTCGGCTGTACCCCATCATTCCGGTGAACTTTAACGCAAAAACGGCGTTTTTTGTGTGAAAAATATACATATATATATACATATATATATATATATATATATATATATATATATATATATATATATATATATATATATATATATATATAGTATATATATATATATATATATATATATATATATATGTATATATATATATATATATATATATATATATATATATATATATATATATATATATATATATATATATATATATATATATATATATATATATATATATATATATATATATATACGACTCACTAGGGCTGAGAAAATTATTATCATGTTCGATAACCCACTAATTAACAGAAAAAAATCGAAATGAGAGGGTTGAAGCAATTGTGTTATTACTGGTGATAAATGGTGGTTTACCTTGAGACAGATTGGACACAAGTCATCTAATGCCAGCTGGGTAGCTGAAACTGAATCTTCTACAACAGGCTTGTTATGAAACAAAAAATATGTATTCTATTTTCTTTAAGACTACAGGTGTTGTTCATATAGATTATTTGGAAAAAATGATTAAAACATCTAATTATTACATTGAAAATTGCTTGAAGCCAATTATAGAAGAAATAAACAAGCAAAGACCTACCTCAGGTATAAAAAAACATGAAATTTCTTTATGAAGATGCTAGACCTAATGTCACAAAAGCAGTGAAAACTTTCCTAGATCAATGTGGATTTAATATAGTTCGCAACCCACCTAACCTTGCCAGATTTAGCTCCATCAGATTTTTGGCTATTTTGACCGCATCAAAACTAATCTTGACTATAATACAAACATTGAAAGTGAAAAAAGGCAAATTATGAAGATAATTTTAGGCATACCTATTGAAGATATAGAAAAAAGTTTGAGAAGTGGTTAGAAAAGATGCAACTATGCATAAATAATAATAGCAAATATTTTGAAGATTTAATAAAATAAAATAAAAAAACATTTATTTTTTAATATTTTTTTGAGAGGTTGCACGAAATTTCCTGACACCCTAAGTGCATATATTTATATACAGTCAGACTACGCTAGCCGCACAGCCGCTTCTAACTCAGAAATCTCCTCTGCCAACTAGATGTCCTAGACCAATAACTAAAGCAAAAATAAAACCGATGCAATCCTACACTTCTACAGTTTCACCTAGCCATCTATGTTACTGGGCAAACAACCCATGTTCACTCAACAATTAAAAAACGCCAAGAGCTCTTTGCTAGACAATCAACTCTATATAAACTCAGCCGGCCACATGTCATTTTTTTTGCGGAAACTTGGTTCACAGATTTATTAGACGTTGCCGTACCCGGCTACCAACCACATGGCAAAGACAGAGACAATAGGGGTGGTGGAGTTGCAATTTACACAAGAAACGATATCATAGTCAGCGAAGTTAGTTCTACTCAGCTCAATTCAACATCAATTGAGCAAATCTGGCGAAAAATAAAACTTGGTCAAGAATCATTTCTCCTTAGCTGCTTATATCGTCCACACAACGAAAACAATCAAAATCTTACTCAGTGTATCACATCGATCACTACCGCTCAACATATACTGCCTAAAATAAACTGCTCTGCAATGCTACTGTATGGCGATTTCAAATTTAGCCATACATCTTATGAGCCTATCGAAGTTAATAGTGGCATTGCAACTGTTGCTAACGTGAGAGGTGAGCGTCAAGGCGACATCAGGTTCCAGAAGTGTCTTGATGAATGTCACTTAACTCAGCTTATCACATTCCCAACCTACCGTAGTAGTCGACACGTCGAGCCTACTAGTACACTTGACCTTATTATAACAAATGAGCCAGACCGTGTAATCTTCATTAAACAAGGCAATTCTTTTTGTGACACTCCAATGGGCCAAGCACAATGCTTCATCGAAGGCCAATTTACTGCATGCCTCAACAATTTGCCAACATTGCCGCTAAAACCTCGAATCATTTGGAGTCAAGCAATCAAGCAAACTACGCAGCAATATCAGCACATATTGCAGCTGTTGACTGGGAAACAGTATTCACTGGACTAAATGCAAACAAAGATTATCAACTTCTAGTAAACGCGTACAATGAAGCCTCTAACTTACACATTCCGTTAACTAATTTAACAAATTGCTAATTTCTCCAAACCAGCATGACTTTGTTTATCATAAAGGATGCGTATCAAACCTTTTAGAAACTTGGGACATCATGACGGAAGCAACTCACTGCAGACACGCAGTAGACATCATTTACACAGACTTTGCAAAGGCGTTCGACAAAGTACCACATAAATGCCTCCTTCATAAGCTGAAAGCGTACAGTATTCAAGGCGCTCTCGTTGTTTGGATTGCAGCTTGGCTAAACAATCGATGTCAACGAGTAGTTATAAACAGCATTACTTCTGAATGGAAAGCAGTCAATAGTGGAGTGCCTCAAGGCTCGGTCTTGGGCCCATTGCTATTCGTAATCTTTGTAAACGACCTGCCAGATAGAATTACTCAAGCAATTCAAAATCATTCATAAACTTGAGCTTGTCAGTTTTGTCATCCCGCAAAAATTTTCAAAAAGTAAAGATAAGTATATTCTAAGAGGCCATAACCATAAACTAGAACGTCAGACGGTAAAAAACTGTGAGGAGCGTTATAACTTTTTTTCAAACAGAATTGTCGCCCCATGGAATGCACTTTCGCAAGAAGCAGTGAACGCTCAATCCATCAACGCTTTCAAAAATAACATAAGAAAGGAACTTTATAGATACAACTGCTGCTTTGTCTGTAGCGTCTGTATCTCCATGTTCGTCAGCATAGAGGGGCCTGGTGTAGCACCTCTTCATCAAATTATAAATGGATTATTGTATTTGTATTTGATCACTGAAATAAATAAATAAGTAAAAATAAAAAAAAAACATATATATATATATATATATATATATATATATATATATATATATATATATATATATATATATATATATATATATAAGTAGTGCTCGAAGTGAAGCAGGATGCAGCAAACTACAAAGTTTGTAGTAGTTTCTTAAGACTAATTTGCAATGATTATCTACAAATACATTACCATGGTAAGCTTGTGGCTCAACCTTGATATCATCAAGGGCTTGAAGTATTGCCCTCTCACGAGGCCCTTTGTTAGTTTTGTAATTTTTTTTTCATGATCCTCACACTTTATCTGCAATCAATTATAGTTGACCTCTAAAACTATGTGTTGCACTCTTATAAATGCAATTTTCTCAGAAATATAAATATCAAGATTTTCTATATTTTTACCCTAACATCCTAAACACTTATAGCTCTCTATATCACACATTACACTCTTTTCAGAATCTACTGTATTAGAATAT